CCCTGAATCTCCTGGACCATTGTGGACCCTGAATCTCCAGGACCAGTGCGGACCCTGAATCTCCAAGACCAGTGCGGACCCTGAATCTCCAGGACCAGTGCGGACCCTGAATCTCTAGGACCAGTGCGGACCCTGAATCTCCAGGACCAGTGCGGACCCTGAATCTCCAGGACCAGTGCGGACCCTGAATCTCCAGGACCAGTGCGGACCCTGAATCTCCAGGACCAGTGCGGACCCTGAATCTCCAGGACCAGTGCGGACCCTGAATCTCCAGGACCAGTGCGGACCCTGAATATCCCGGACCAGTGTGAACCTACACTCTCCGTGACCAGAGTGGACCCTGAATCTCCTGGGTCAATGTGGAACCTGGATATCTTATATGAGTGTAAACCCTGAATCTCCAGGATCTGAGTGGAACCTGGATCTCCAGGAAAAGTGTGGACCCTGGATCTCCAGGACCAGTGTAGACCATTGAACTCCTAAACCAAAGTTGTCCCTGGATCTCCAGGACCAGTGTGGACCCTGCATTTCCAGGACCAGTGTGGACCCTGCATTTCCAGGACCAGTGTGGACCCTGAATCTCCCAGACCAGTGTGGACACTAAGTCTCGTGGAATAGTGCAACGACATGTGCAAATACACATCATGCTCAAACGGTGTGCGACAAGTTCAATGTATATCTATGTTGTAATAAGAAAAATAACTGTTTTAAAAACTATCACCTCATTGCATATTGTTGTAAAAATATATTTTAAGTTCATTTAAAATTAAATAAACCGGGAGTGATCTCCCGTAAACTTTCTCGAATATTCTTATATAAAACAACAGGGGATGGGAACTCGGGCTATATATATGATTTTTAATCAATTTTAAATACTTAAAAATTTTAAAATAGAATAAAATCTCGTAGACAAAAGAAGTGCACACCAAGTGAACGCCAAATAAAAAGTACATAATAGTGCGCAATATTATTAGTACTTTAAAAATTTACATTAGTTTTTTTGAGAAATCGGAAGTAGCGTAAATTACTACTTTCGGTCAACGGAAATTACTCAAAATTTAACAGAAGGTAGAAAATTAGATCTTTTACTTACATGTGAAATTTCATTTATCTATCTAAAATAGTACTCAAGTTATAGGCTTTTGAAAAATTCAAAGTAGGAAAAGTACCACTTCCGGTTATCGGAAATCGCTCAAAAGTTGATACGGATCTACGATTTTGATAAAATACTTATATATGAAATTTCATCAACCTAGCTGTAACGGTACTCAAGTTATCGTGTTTACACACGGACAGACAGACAGACACACAGACAGACACACAGACAGACACACAGACATACGGACAAGATTGCAAAATTATGTTTTTCCGTATCAGTGAGGTGTAAAACGTCGAGATTTGTAAAAATCTCGATTTTTTTTTTTTGCACGATTACAAGACTTTCTCTATACTTCGTATATACGAGAAAGTAAAAATGATGTTTTTCTACATTGTATTCTGCATATACACAACAAAAGAATTGCTTTTTTTCCCCAACGATTTTTAAAAAAAATCATGCATTGCATTAATCATGTTTTCGAGTGGGTATTATAAGTAGCCTACACTCATTTTTTACAGATTACGATAAATATCTTGTATATGTTCACAGTAGTTATTTAGTGGTTAGAGCGGTTAGGGTTAAGTTTAGGGTAAGGGTCAGTAGTTATTTAATTATGATGTAGGTAACATGATAACTAAACTGATTATTCCAGTATCAGAATGTCGATCCGACTACATCGCCCCCTTTGACGTTGTTGCACTCTCTCCTCAGTGTACCATTTCCCAGTAATTCAAGTTTAGGACCCATGAGAATTTTTCTGATTATGATTGCTGAAAAAGACACATATCCCGATATTTTAGTTGATGACATGCGCACCTTAAGTTACAAGTAAGTATTGGGACTAAAACTCAAATATACTAGGGGCGACTGATACTAGATGGGTTGGACTAAGATTACAAGATGACTACTTAGGTTAGATACGAAAGTTACTAGTAGTAGTATATTAGGTCACTTTTGGTTAGTATTTTTGGCGGAGCAGGATGTGGGGAGGAGCAATGACATATAGTAAAATACTCGAGAGCAGGATGTGGGGAAGGCGCAAAGAGATATAGCAAAATACTCCCAGCCTGGCGCATCGGGATGTGGAGGGTGGGTGAGCAGGATGCGCAGAGGGCGCAAAGACATATAGTAAAATACTACGCCAACTGGGGTTGGCGGAGCAGGAGGGTGTGTCACCTTTTGGTGAACTTGTGACGTAATCATTGACCTTGTGACGTAATTAGTGACCTTGTGACGTAATCACTGGCCTAGTTACGTAATTTTAATGCGTTTTTTAATTAGATTTAATGAGCTTTTTAAATCTTAATTAATTTTTTATTAACGAGTTACGTAATTTGATTTTAATTTTTTAAATTTTAAATTTTATTTTATAATTAGTTTAATTTTTATTAACTAGTTACGTAATTTGATTATTTGTTTGATTTAAATTGTTTAATTTGTTTGTTTACTTGTTGTTTGATTTAATTACTTTGTTTATATTGTGTAATTTTTATTAACGAGTTACGTAATTGGATTTTAATTTTTTTAATTTTTAAATTTTTAATTTTATTTTATAATTAGTTTAATTATTATTAACTAGTTACGTCATTTGATTTTTTAATTTTTTAAATTTTTAAATTTTAAATTGTTTACTTTGTTTGTTTAATTTGTTTAATTTATTTATTTGATATATTTCTTTTCTCTGATGTATGGTATTTTAAAATACATGTTGTTACATATAATAAGTTTTTTATTGAATAAAAACAACCCCATCAGCATACAGTCAAGGTTCTGTCTTATTTACATATTTACATTAAAGTCTCATTAAAGGCACGATTGGTAAACTAAAAGGTCTTATATGTCTAGGGGAGATGTTGTGACATTGTCTGCGTCTACTCGTCTTTTAATGTAAAAGTAAGAAAGTGAGTTTCTGTGTTGGGTGTAAGTGTATATCCCCGTGTTGTATGCTCTGAACCCTGTGTTTGTCCCACCACTTGGTTCCTTTGTTGTGAGGACCTGCATGAAAGATTCTTTGCCTAGTGTGTTGTGATTTTTAGATAATCCTTTGGTTGATGTTTTATTATAGTCGCCAAAACAGTGGTACGTCTTGCTACATAAAGATACCATCCCATCCCCTTCATATTCTAGCTTAAACAACCCCGGTGTTCTCTTTTCATAAATTTTCCTAGCCCTACACTCTAGACAATGACTATCTACCGTGACTTTGCCGCTTATAAATTGTGGTCTATGTGAGTCGCATACTTCTGAGGGGAACCATTTATCGTAAATGTCAAAAAACTCGTGTTCTAGTCCCGGTCTAACGGCTTTTAACAAGTCATCGGTACTTAAGGCTAAGTATAAACTGTCAGTGTCCATCTCACATAGCTGAAAGTCTGTTCTATCTATATATCTGTCTATAAAATCATAATAAAATTCTAACATCCTAAGTTTCGCGTACTGATAAACGAAAAAGCCTATCTGAAGAGGGAGATCCCAAACTATCTTCTTTTTTAACGTTTCTACTTCGTAAACAGCGTCGGTAAGTTTTGTCATTTTTTTAAATCGTGGATTATTAATACAATCCCCTATATCCCTATCACTACAGTAGGTCATGTCCGCATGTCGTGTTTTATCCGTCAAAGTTTTACCGTATGCCGCGTTTCCTAACAATTTCATTGTTTCACTCGTTATTGCGTATTTGTCGTCTATGTCCCCCTTTCTTCGCGCGTCTGAAACTGTATCCCCAAATGTCTTAAAACAGGAAACCGGATTATATTCAACGACTTGATAAATTTTACTGACTACCAACCCATGATTTAAATACCACTTTAAAAGGGGGGTCGCTAATAAAATTTTCTCCCCTGTAAAGCTACCGATTAAAGTCCGTCTACCGCTAGTTAATAAGTTGTTATCGATCGCGTATTGTCTCATAAACGGTCCGATGTCGTCGCGCGTAACGTTCGTATTTTTAAAAATTGGTGTCATCTCACGAAAATGTTCTCTTAAACTATCCGGTACTTTAATGTCGCATTCTATCAGTCCAAAACACGAGTCGTCTAAAACAGAATCGATGATCTGTTTTTCAGTCAGGGGCCATTTCTTACCATAGGTCGGTGTCGGTGTCTTTTGTGATTTGTCAATAGAGTTTAAATAGTCTTTAATAGTTGGGTTCGTTTTTTTCTGGCTCCCCCACTCACATTCCCACATTTCTACGACTTTAACGTCAACAGTATCTGTAAGGTACTTCGTAGTTTCGTTTGTCTTTTTAAATAACTCAGTCAAGGGTCTGTTGCTAATAGGATTTACTGTTCGGTCTTTGGTTAAGGGGCAGTCGGGGTGTCCGTAAAAGAGGCAGCCATGGAACTGATAAACGGTTCGACTGTTCGCGTCCCACCCGTCTACTCTTATATGGCGGGATCCTAAGCTAACTTCGCCCCCGTTAAATGCAGTTTTTAAAGTTACCCCCTTTGTTTTTGAAACCCACGATAACCACTGAAAGGCCTGTTCCCCATAATGATTCGCTTTACGCGGTCTAAACCCCTCCTCACTATTTCTAATAATCGGAAATCCCGTCGGCATTTTTTGCATTAAAGACCATAAATAAAGCGCGTTCGCGTCGTACCCCTTAATTGCCTGTACCCCCTTTTTACTATTCCCCCTAATGAACGTTTCACCCTTTTCGTGATGTCTATGAAAAATAATGGAGGGGCCCCCTACGATATTATTTCGGATTGTTTTATGTAACTCTGATTCGCGCTCGGAACACAAAGAAAAAGAAACTTTTTTGGGAAGTGTTTTGAATAAGTATTTTAAGGTTACCCCCGGGACAGAAATCGCGTCTTTAAAAATATCAACCCCTAAATTTTTGTAAAAATTAGTTTGCTGCTCGAGCGCTTCGATAAACGGTTTTACATCGATATTGTTATACCAAATAAGATAATCTTTAAAAGTTTGCATCCCCTTCTCTACCCAAATTTGCCTACACGTCGCGTACTCCTCGTCTGAAATGTTACAATTTTTTAATGATGAAAAAAAGGCCGAATGCGGAGGTAAAGACGTTTCATCTAAGACAGCTAACTTTTTGACATATTCGTACGGAAAAAATCCCTTGGTCTCTTTAACATTATACGCGGCGAGGTATTTACTATAGCTAAACCCCGGTGCTAGATAATTAACTATATCTAAGAACTTTAATGTATTTGTTGCTATACACATAAAATTATTATTTCTTTTAACTACATATTTAAACGGTGTTTGTTTATCTTCTACGTCGTCTTCATCATCGTTACAACTAGATCTAGGTCCCTCCTCTAACCCCTCTTCTGTGTTTGAATAAGCTAAAAAGTACTGAATAAAATACGGTTTAACGAGATTTATATCATATTTTCCTGAATTAAACCCTATAACCGGCATTTGTCGCAAATATTCGTCTAATCTACCGCTAAGAAAGCTATCAAACCCTTTGTCGTTCGACTTATTATCACTACCCCTAGCTTTAGGTGGAAATAACTTCCTGATTTGCTTAAAAACAGGCTCAAACTGTTTTCTCAAAATTCCATAGGCTGCCTCGGCGATTATGTGGAGTCTGTCAATAACTCTAGTCACTAATAAAACAGAGGCGACAGAGCAAGACAAAGGCACGTGTTTGGCTACGCTTTTTGTAACTCTACCTAACGGGGGTAACTCGGTATGGTCGAAATAGCATTCGAAATCATAAGTTGCTCGGAAGGGATAAACAAAGTTACTATTTACATCTAACCCATAGGACGCTAAAAACTCCCAGATTGTTTGCTGTGTCTTATAAAGCCCTCCCTTATACCTATCTACTGGTTTCCCCCCATTACACCCTTTCACGTGTCTGTTCATTTGTTGAACGGTGGGCCATAATTTGTTACACACAGAACACGTGAAAGAGTGACCCGCCCCACCTATATTATTAATGTACATAAACTGATTTTGAAAAAATAAAAGATACACAGTCTCCCTAAACCTATCACTCCTTCTAAGTTTCGGAGAAAGGATCTGGTTTTCGTTAAATTAAAAAAGCTCAATATTTACACTAAAACATGACTCTAAGAGGGGAATTTCGACCAACCTAACCCCGCTAAAATTATCCAAGGTCCCGAGACCTTGGTGCGCTGGCCACTGTTTCGCGAGTTTTAATGTTAGTTTTCTAAGATCTGTTAAGGGTGCTCCTAAATGTCTGGCTAAACATCTAAAAAAGGAGAAGTTGTCTGTGTAGGGTTTTGAATTTGAATCCTGTTGTAACATGTTAATGGCGTGATTATGTTTAATAAAGTCAGGAATGTCTGTGAGAAGGCATGTGGGTAAAGGTTTGACTGTGGTCGTGTGTAAGTCTACCACATCTCCCCTAAGGTCGTCTACAGGATAAATAGTGGTGTGTGAATTAAGGTTACGGTCGTTGTTAGTCTTTACGCGTTTGTTGTTTGTTATCTCGTCATACGTCGTGTGTCGCTTTAAGGGGTTAGAGTTGGAAGAGGTACGATCGGTTTGGGTCGCTAATGTGAGTTGGACAGTATGTGTGTCGGTCACAGATGTGGGTTGGTGTGTTTGTCTGTTGGTTGCTGATGGGGTGTCGGTCGGTAATGTTTGGTTGCTGTGTGCTTTCTTAAAGTGTCTTGTTAAATTACTTAGTAGTGTAAATACTTTCCCGCATGTTGTGCAGGGATGTCTCTGTCGACCGTGTGCAGAGTCGTGATGTCTTGTCAAAGCGTCTTTGCGAGTGAACACTCGGTTGCAGATCTCGCATGTGAAACGGGTCATGGCTGGGTGGGTGGTAGGTTGGGCGGCTTCCATTATTGACGATGTGTCTAGTAGTCGGATGCTTGGGTAGGTCGCTGGCTGTAGAATAAAATAAACAAAGATTAAAGTAATTACATAAAATAAAATACATTTGTCAACTTTTTAAATAAAAAAACATACTTAAAATAAAATTGAAAATGAAACGTACCTATGGGTTTGCACGTCTAAGCTGAACGTGAAGTTAACTGTATGTGGAGATCCGAAGTGGTGTAGTTGGATGTAGTTGGATCTTTGGTTCAGTGGATGCCTCGGGGCTGGGTAGGTAGCTCACTGGTTGTCTTGTTGAGTCGGTTGTACACTAAAAAGAAATACATGTGACTACTTATTTAGATACATAGTTATTTAAAGGGTATTTAAAGGATAATTCATACTATTAACCTTACCTCGGTGTACGATACAAAATTAAATACCTGTGACTACTTATTTAATAAGATTTGATTTTAATGGGGTTAGCGCCCTTAAAACAAAAAGTAATATTAACCTTACCTTTAATAGAATAAACACCCACAGGGTGCGGTCCGTGGTTGTTTAGGTAGATGTGGTGATTGGTAAAGCTGGCGTGGGTTAGTCTCGGGAGTCAACAGAGGTCGCAGGCTATACAAGTCGGTGTGACGCTTGGTTTGAAGTCCGAAGTCGAATTGGTTTAAAACAAAATTTTCACGTTCATTTATACGGTTGGGCAGCCTAATTACAGCGCCAGCTGTTGCACAACAGCTGTTGCATAATGACCTAGGTACTTCGCGGAGCTGACAAATCGATCGACGTACTTCGCGGATCTGACAAATCGATCAGGGAAAAATCCATTAAAGTGGTAACATTTGTTCCCACACTTAACGGTAGTTATGCAATTAACCACTTAGCTCTTTCGATTAAACACTGGACCCCTACGGTGTTCGCTTCCGTGAACAACACATAAATCATCATGACCTGTCAAACCTAGCGGGGAAAAATCGGTGATGCGTGACCAAATTTAATTAGGTGGACCATCATACTGATGGTCAGTGGGTGCGATCAATACATTCCCATTAAAAAACGGGGAGCGCGTGTCAAAAACAAAGGATAGCTGGTGAATCGATACGTAACAGGTGTTACACGGCTGGTTAAATGGAAGTCATGACACAAAGTATACGTTAGCGTTGTGTTGTAGAATGGTCCCTATACAAAGTACACGCTAGTGTTAGTCTTTTATTTTAAAATACCATACATCAGAGAAAAGAAATATATCAAATAAATAAATTAAACAAATTAAACAAACAAAGTAAACAATTTAAAATTTAAAAATTTAAAAAATTAAAAAATCAAATGACGTAACTAGTTAATAATAATTAAACTAATTATAAAATAAAATTAAAAATTTAAAAATTAAAAAAATTAAAATCCAATTACGTAACTCGTTAATAAAAATTACACAATATAAACAAAGTAATTAAATCAAACAACAAGTAAACAAACAAATTAAACAATTTAAATCAAACAAATAATCAAATTACGTAACTAGTTAATAAAAATTAAACTAATTATAAAATAAAATTTAAAATTTAAAAAATTAAAATCAAATTACGTAACTCGTTAATAAAAAATTAATTAAGATTTAAAAAGCTCATTAAATCTAATTAAAAAACGCATTAAAATTACGTAACTAGGCCAGTGATTACGTCACAAGGTCACTAATTACGTCACAAGGTCAATGATTACGTCACAAGGTCACCAAAAGGTGACCCACCCTCCTGCTCCGCCAACCCCAGTTGGCGGAGCAGGAGGGTGGGCGTAGTATTTTACTATATGTCTTTGCGCCCTCTGCGCACCCTGCTCACCCACCCTCCACATCCCGATGCGCCAGGCTGGGAGTATTTTGCTATATCTCTTTGCGCCTTCCCCACATCCTGCTCCCGAGAATTTTACTATATGTCATTGCTCCTCCCCACATCCTGCTCCGCCAAAAATACTAACCAAAAGTGACCTAATATACTACTACTAGTTGATGTTTTAGGCTAAATAGGTATTTAGGAAGTAAGCTTTGACGCTAGAGATGTGTTCAACTTCATGTCAGAGAAAGTAGAGTAGTTAAGTGGTATTGTATTTTCTATTGTTAGACAGTATATATATATATATATATATATATATATATATATATATATATATATATATATATATATATATATATATATATATATATATAGACACAGTGTGATAACAATTTTTTTAAGTAAAGTGGCTTTTTTTTCTAGAGCTATAGTGTCTGATGTGAGTAGAACCACGTACCAAGTGAGGTATTTGCAAATCTCACCCGGCTGGCATTCAGCTTACTCGACCAAACACGACAACTTCGGCCTCTACCTGTATGGCTGGAAAGATGGCGGCACATTCCTACATACTGTGGGTTATGTAGACAAACAAGAGGTGAAATTTCATACAAAAAACACTTTATTTAACACAAGACTGGATTACAATAATCGGAAAGCAAACTTTATTCTTGTTTGTTGACTCGATTTACCGAATTTGTTTTATAAAGCTAAATCTGTACCAATTTTCATTTATCTGAATAATTGCTAGGTATTGTTATTTATTGAAAGTAAATTTGACTTACAATTATTGATAAACATTAATGCGATATATATATATATATATATATATATATATATATATATATATATATATATATATATATATATATATATATATATATATATATATAAATAAATATATATATATATATATATATATAAATAAATAAATAAATAAATAAATAAATATATATATATATATATATATATATATATATATATATATATATATATATATATATATATATATATATATATATATATATATATGCCGTTTTCACACAGTCCTGAATAAAAAAAGTTTGTTTCAGTTCACTAGAAACGTTGATACAACTATAGTAACAATATGTTGTGGCAAAACCTAAGAATACTTCCTATTTTGAAAATCTGTCAAAAGGCAATCAGACAATGCTCGATTTAAGTTTTATTTTTTATATGTATTTATAAAAAACAATATTAATTGCAAACAATATTTTCAAACCTGATATAGACGATTTATAATTCTTTTTACATAATAAATTACATAATGTTTTCTCACCAGATACGAATGTTTAAAGACAATTTACGTAATGTTTGCTTTAGATTTATACACGCTTTAAAAGCATGTGTTAATTGAGACCATGTTTTCCTAGTGCAAGATAACCCACTTGATTATGGATCCTATACCTATGAAGCCTGGGGACAGAATGGACAACGATTGCGATAAACTGGTGGACGAAGATCTCCCAAGTATTTATAGATATCTTATGTCAAGATGTCTAGATGACTGATGTCTATATGTGTAATGTATATCTAAATGTCTGATGTCCGGCGTCTAAAAGTATTATGTCTAGATGTCTAGCGGTCGATACATAGATGTCTGAAGTATAGATGGCTTCATAATGGCTAGACGTTTCTTATTGTGTGACGTATCCTAATATATAATAGCCCACGTGCGCACTTCTCTCTCTCTCTAGCTGTCCGCAAAAAATTTCGCCGGACATTACATTAGAATCTGCAGCGATATATGAAGAACTTTATACGGACTTTTGTTGAAAATAATATGTTAGATGTTTTAAATGTATAACCACAATTTTATTTAAAGAAGAAAAATAAAAAAAATAAAGGCGTATTCGAATATAGAGAAACAGTATTAATTATGCAACCGGAAAAGACCTTATATCTGGGACAAGAACGCATTTAACAATGACGTCCCTTATTGTTTACACTAAAAAAAGAGCACGAAACTTATGACGTCATCTTCCGAGTTTAGAATAAAAAGAAATGAACTATTTCATTCAAATATGATATAGAGCTATGTACGCTATGAAATGTAAACAATACGATTTTCTCGGCCTAAACTTAAAAAAAAATATTTTATCTATTTTGATTCTAAATCTAGAGATTCTAGATCTAGACTAGATCTAGATCTAAATCTTCACAAAAACTAGACGTAGACGCCACGTCGCTAAGATCTATTATAGAACTAGATTTAGACTCCTATCTACTGTAGAATCTATTCCAAAAATAAATTTCTATAATAAACTTTTTCAGGACTTAAATATTTTATAGAATTCTTTGTTTGTTTAGCAATGAAACTGGCTAATTTTGGGTAAAAAAATTAATTTGAAAAAATAGGCATATTCGCGTAAGTTATTTTTTTAAACACTTCTTTTATTCTCCAAATTTTATAAGGTACCTAATTTTAGCTGAGATGATAGTGTACTTGATACCAGACAGGTGGTTCTGGATCGAGACACGCCAAGTCAAACCTATTTTTTTTTCTTTTTATATGTGAATCTTCCTATTTTAGACTATAAAGAAAGGAACTATTTTGGAAATCTTTGTTTATGTATGCAATTTGCTAATCTCTATAATATATAAAGCAAAGTTGTCGGGTGCCCGACATCGGGCACTTCCCGGCGCCGCAGGCGCTTCACATTTGGCAGGATCTTGCCTTGGGGCGACAGAACACGTGGGTTGGTTGGCCGAAGAGTCTACGATGAGGGGGTCAAAACAGACCTCGACTGACCGGCGCCTTATATGAGCTATAAATCGAAAAAAAATGTCCACGTAAGAACCTCTTTATAACTCCTGAGGTCGTAGACCGACCATCGGGTGAATCAATTAAGCTTTCAAATTCTCAATGTTTTCGAAAGCCTAAGCGAAGCTGGGCAGCATGCCTAGTGATATCTAGATGTCTAAAATTCGGTCAGAAATCTCGAAATATGTATTTTGTGAAGAAATATGTCTAGATGTCTGTCTATTTGTATGTTAATGTATTTCTATATATCTGTCAATATGTCTGTCTATACGTCTAGATGTCTAGATATTTAAATATCTACATATTTATATGTTTATATGTCTAGATATCTAGATGTCTTTCTAGATGTTTATATGTCTAGATATCTGTATGTCTATATGTGTATGTGTTTAGATGTCTAGATGCCTATCCATCTAAATGTCTAGATGTATTGATGTCTGTCCATATGTCTACATATAGACAGGTTGTCATGTCTATATGTCTAGATGTTAGAGCCTCTTCGAAAAATGACTTCGATGTATGTGGAATGGAAAATAAAGGAAACATTTTTTAAGTTTATATAGGGCAGAGGTCTCTTTGATTTTTTGCCAGACCCTATCAGTTAACTAGAGCGTGAACGTTTGCCTGATGAATGTATTGTCTGAGTGCGCTCTGATAAAATCATATGCCATAAAATATTCTTTAATTGTTTATTATTTGTTAAAATTTATAGATTTTAAAAACGTATCACTTTATAAATTAAATAGTTATTATACAGTATATTGAGAAATAAATTACATGTGGATGCCTGATTTAATTTTTCTCATTCAAATATTATTTTTACAAAATTGAAACTGTATTGGAATGTGTTAACAGATGAAGACCTAGACTGAGATAATACGATAGGAGAGGATGTATCAAGAGGAAAAGCAGGTTTGTAAATATTTAACGTATTCGATTAAATAAACCGTAAATATTTAACGTATTAAATTAAGCAAAGTGTGTTTGATTAAAAATAAATATGCATTTGATAGTATATAGATATATCACGCAAAACTTTTTTTCTCTGTATATATATATATATATATATATATATATATATATATATATATATATGTATGTATGTATGTATATATATATATTATATATTAGATATATGTCTTTAAAATACAAATAAAAAACAAATGGATTAAAGTACGAATAATACAACTAATGAAGTAATCTTAACGGTTTTTTATTATAGAGGACGGAGGTTGGGGTGAATGGAGTGTATTTATCTGTTTAGAGTGTAACGAAACTTTTTCAAAGAGAAGGTAATCATTGTAGTTTAATGGATACACGTTGTATGTTGTAAAAGAGTATATGAAAAACGACCCTACGATTTTTTAGCTGGGATATTTAAAGAATACGATAGCACACACCGTATTGATTTAATCACGTTTTCGTTGTAGGAGTTTTAGTAAGTAATATTAAAAGCGAAACAGTTAATACTGGACCACATTTGAGACTTAACTATTATTGTATTTAGGTGCACGATTTACAATGCTGTTTTAATTTCGTTTCTACGAAAATATCTTGTGTTTTTCGTTTATTCATGTTCAGCATGTTTTGATTGTGAATATTTTTTAAGCAGAGTACATTAATTTTTCATCTGCATGACTGTTCTGAAGTTGTGTAAGTCTAATATATTTTTAATGTTCCTTAAAGCTGATTATTTGAACGTATGCATTATTGTATTTTTTTTTAAATTGTTGAAACATAACTTGATTCTCATTGTATTTTATATTTTAAAAAATTGTTCAATCTTTTATGGGAAATAAAAACTTTTTCACAGTCGTCTATGTGAAAAAAAAACCATGTTTTTTTGATGAATCATGTTAATAAAAATAAAATTCATTCGATCATGTGAACAAAATCAATTTTATTTTTACTCAATTTATGTGAAAAAAACAACTTTTATTCCAGTCGATTATGTGAAAACCCAGCTCCACAATACGAAGGGATGAGATGTATGGGATATGCGGAAGAGAGTAACAATGAAAAATGTCGTGTCTGTAGGATGAGTGAGTAGTGCTTTGTATCCTTCTTAGAAATTTTTAGACATTTACACTTACTCCCTAGCGTAACACTTTTTAAATTCCATGCTAAGATAGATGTCGCTTTTAACGTAGTCTCTATATTAAAGAGCTATTTTTGTCTCTTTCGAAACGCAAGTTACTTTCTAAATTATTAAATGCCCTGGGTCATAATTAAAATAAAAAAAAAATTCTAATTTGTAATTCGCACACAAATAGTAATTTAAAATGAAGAAAACGGTGTGATTCAATATTAAAAACACTTTTAAAGTTGAAAAAAATAAGGTGTCACGTTTGTCACATAGCCCGCCTTTTCTTTCTTATCCCACACCACCATACCCACGCCTCACTCCTGTGGATGTGATCTGGCCACAAAAAAAATCACGGATAATTTTAAAATATTATCTGAGAATACCCATTTTTTATTCATGTCATGTTCATGTCATGTTTGCCTGTCGTCCCTACTGGGACATAGGCCGCTGACAAGAGCTTTCCAGACGTCTCTGTCCAGGGCTAGTCTCTCCAACTGTCCCCAGGTGTATCCAATCTTCTTGGTGTCTTCTTCCAGGTCACGTCTCCAGGTCTTTCTTGGTCTGTCTCTCTTCCTCCTGCCTTGTGGATTCCAGGTGAGGGCCTGTCTTGTTATGCTGGATACAGGCTTCCTGAGTGTGTGGCCAATCCATTGCCATTTTCTCTGGAGGATCTCTACTTCCACTGGCAGTTGATTTGTCCGTTGCCATAGAACATCATTTCTGATGGTTTTAGGCCAGCGAATTCGCAGGATCTTTCTGAGACATGCGTTTATAAATGATTGTATTTTCTTCTTATTTATAGCAGTTATTCTCCATGTCTCGGCTCCATAGAGTAAAACAGGTTTTACTAGTGTGTTGAAGATCCGGATTTTTATTCTAAGGGTTAAATCCCCCGAACCCCAAACATTTTTTAGTTGGTTGAAGACTGCTCTTGCCTTACCCGTCCTTATTTTTATGTCTGCTTCTGTCCCACCCTGCTTATCAACAATACTTCCAAGGTAGGTGAATCTATCCACTTCTTCTAGGGCTTCTTCTGCCAGTGTTATAGGGTTGTTGTTTGATGCATTGACTTTGAGAACTTTACTTTTCCCTCTGTGGATGTTCAGACCCAGGCTTGTAGAAAAGTTTGGAACCCTGTTGGTTTTATCCTGCATTTGCTGTTGTGTGTGAGAAAGGAGGGCCAGGTCGTCAGCAAAGTCCAGGTCATCCAGCTGGCTCCACAATGTCCACTGTATTCAGTTTCGCGTTTTCTCTGTTGACATCTTCATAACCCAGTCTATGGCCAGTAGGAACAGGAATGGTGAAAGTAGGCAACCCTGCCTTACTCCGGTCCGTACTGGGAAGGCCTCTGTAGTCTGTTGGCCATGCACTACTCTACATTTGAGACCTTCATATGAAGACATAATAATGTTGACTATTTTCTGTGGCACCCCGTAGTGTCTCAACAATTTCCACATTGACTGCCTATCCAGGCTATCAAAGGCCTTCTCATAGTCTATGAAATTAATATAGATGAGTTCCACTCTTGGGTCTGTTCAATGATGATGCGCAGGGTAGCAATTTGGTCTATGCATGACCTTTCCTTCCTAAAGCCCGCCTGTTGATCTCGAAGCTGGGGATCTATTGCTTCCTTCATTCTGTTTAATAATATTCTGTTGAAGACTTTGCCATTTTTTACTTTCTCGTATATACGTAGTATAGAGAAAGTATTGTAATCGTGCAAAAAAAAAATCGAGATTTTTACAAATCTCGACGTTTTACACCTCACTGATACGGAAAAACATAATTTTGCAATCTTGTCCGTATGTCTCTGTGTGTGTGTGTCTGTCTGTGTGTGTGTCTGTCCGTGTGTAAACACGATAACTTGAGTACCGTTACAGCTAGGTTGATGAAATTTCATATATAAGTATTATATTAAAATCGTAGATCCGTATCAACTTTTGAGCAATTTCCGACAACCGGAAGTGGTACTTTTTCTACTTTGAATTTTTCAAAAGCCTATAACTTGAGTACTATTTCAGATAGATAAATGAAATTTCACATGTAAGTAAAAGATCTAATTCTCTACCTTCTGTTAAATTTTGAGTAATTTCCGTTGACCGGAAGTAGTAATTTACGCTACTTCCGATTTCTCAAAAAACTAATGTAAATTTTTAAAGTACTAATACTATTGCGCACCATTATACACACCTTTATTAGGCGTTCGCTTGGTGCGCAATTGTTTTTTTACTGAGATTCTATTCTATTTTTAAAAGTTTCAGTATTTAAAATGGATTAAAAATCATAACTATATCCCCAGTTACCATCCCCTGTTGTTTTATATAAGAATATTCGAGAAAGTTTAGGGGAGATCACTACCAGTTTATTATTAGTTAGCATTAAAAAAATCGTTCATCGAAACATGACCAAATAAAATGTTTTTCAAATTCTATTCATACTATTGTGACTACTCGCTATAGGCGAAATGATTAAACACTCATACATTTACAGTATCCACAAGTACTTTGCCATAAAATGAGACTAAATAAATATGATATTATACCCATGGCTTAATAACACATACTAATTTAACACAAATCAATTCAAAATTATCCTCGATAATAATTTAGTTAATAAATATGTTTTTGTTTTAAATGTAATAGAATGTAGCCTGCTCAGCTATTCAAATTTAAATTGTTTTAACATGTTTTGAAATTTACTTGAAATTATCTTCAAAATGAAAGACGAAAACAGGTGTCAAAAACATCGTCGATAATTTAATGTTTTTTTTTGTAAAAGAAAGTAGCCTACTTGAAGCGATCGAGTACAAAAAACAATGAACACTACGGTAACAAAAGAATTGTCATATGTTTACCTTTAGCACCTTGCCCGGTTGGAAAGTATGGACGCTACTGTGAGATTGCATGTGGACATTGTGCAGGAACAGGAACATGTAATCTAATTACAGGAAAGTGTCAGCCGTGTTTAAATGGGTGGACGGGAGAAAAATGTACAGCACGTAAGTATCTAGACTAGTAGGCAAACAATTTTTTTTGAGAAGTGACTCCTCGGAAAAAAAATTTCGCAGAAAGTACGAAACTCAATAGTTCTGCACATGCTTTGTGACCTTAATAGCTGCGCTAAGGTTAGGGTTAGGGATAGTGTTAATGCTAGGGTTATGGTAGGGTGAGGTTTAGGGCTAGGGTTCTGTGGTTTATTTGTTCACTCACGCATGCAAAGTACCATCAAAATCATCCCCGCGAAAGAAGGCATTAGTTTCTCTCCATTGCTCATGCATATGTTTTTTCCGGCTAGAATATTTTTAGTATATAACCACAATATTCGTTTAGGTATAACAAAGGCGCTTAATCTAACGTGATGTAATTATTTCCCAGCTTGCCCTGAATTGACCTACGGTCACGCGTGTAAACATTCATGTCTCGAGAAGTGTAATGGACGAGACTGCATTGAACGAGTGCAAGGAATATGTTCTGCAAGTATGTCATTGTTCTTCAGTGAACATTTTTTTGCATTTGTATGTGTACTCAATGTTGTTCAGTACATGCGTGTTTATGTACAATTATTTTTAAAAGTGTTTATGTTTTTTACAGTATACGATGTGGGTTTATCAGCTGTTGTGTACTACATATTCCTCGTTCTGCTTTTGGGGACCTTGTATGGTTTCTGTATGAGTAGGTAGGTTTCATGTGTAGCATTAAATGTTTCCTGTAATTTTTTTCTTTTTAAATTTAGATTTAAACCTTATTATGCTTTTATAAATATTAAATCTATATTCAACTGATAAAAATAATACAATTTTCTAATTTATTCAGGCTACGCTTGGAAAAGAAGCCAGATGTAGTTGTGACAGTAAAGCGTGTGTCTTCTAAAGAATACACGGTCACAGAACAAATAGAGACTGATGTCTAATCACGGTTTACAAGGAGATAAAGTTCATTTTAAACACAGAATCTGTTTTGTGTTTAAAACATTTCTTTTTGAAGCACAAGCATTACTCTCATGTTGTCCATTCGTGATTTTATTTTTACAAGCTTTTATTTAACTCACTTCCTCGTCAGTCTGCCTGTCTGTCTGTCTAGATCGACACGTCCGAGCGAAATTGCAGGTACTTCTACCTGACATATACAGTTCGTAGTTGAAATGTAGTACAAGACATGAACACAATGCATCATGACATTATATTTGAGTTAATTCGATGCCTAATTTTTTTTAATGAATTAATTAAAAATTTGACCAAATTAGTAAGCAGTTCAATTCAACTACTCCACACGCGTCATCACGTTCAAAAGCGCGTCATCACGTTCAATAGGTGCTCAATGGTTTTTAGTCATGTAACTCTATTGTAAATAAAAACATGTAAAGTACTACAACAATTTTTCATAAAAAGCGTTTTAATAAAAAACTTTTATGTAATAATGCAATAAAAGGAGAAAATAGATTATACACTACTCTTTAAATAACTATAAAGAAAAGCGTGGGTCTCTTCCTACATATAAGTAAAGTTATCCAATAGATACTAAAGTGAACCACGCTTTTCTCTATATTTATTTAAATAATAGTGTATAATTTTTTAGCGCAATTTCCATTCTGGAGAATTGCGTTTATTAACCCGTCATTTCTGGATGCATGAATGGATGAATGGATGTGTGTGTGTCCGCAGCTTTAAGTCGTATCTCCTCCTCAACGAAGCAATATCGATGACTAGTTCCAAAAGCAATTATGTTAAGCAAGTTACGAGGATGAGCATAGGCCATAACAATTCCAGGTTTCTTTCATGGATTTCCCGGAAAAAGAAAAAAAATCTAGAAAAAAATGCAGTTTTTGGCCCATATCTCGGCAACCAGACCACTTAGCGACTTGTACCAATCGATTTCTGCCATAATTTAGAACAATATTGCCGAAGAAAGTTTTCGAAAATATCCTTTCGTTCGGTCCCAAACATTTTTTGAATTAATTAAAATTTGGACCGAATTAGTAGGCATGTTTATCCAACCACACCACACGCGTCATCACGTTCAATAGCTGCGCCATCACGTTCAATGGCTGCGCCATCACGTTCGGTAGCTAGGCGCGCAATGGTTTTTAGTCATGTAACTCTATTGTAAATAAAACATGTAAAATACTGAAAAAAAATTAATAAAAAACGTTTTAATAACTAACCAATGGTTTTACTAACCCTGCTCTTGATTTACGCTACGACAGAGCTATTTTTAGATAACATAAGGAAATTGCGCTTAAATGTCACTAGACTTTTTAATTAACTTGTTTCTCCAGTTTAGTTCATTATTTCATAAAAGCTTGTTATTAAAACGTTTTTATGAATTTTTTTTGTTTCAATATGTTAAACTTTTTTACATTAAACTGTGTCTTCTAAAGAATACACAGTCACAAAACAAATCGAAACTGATGGCTTAATACGGTCTACTAGGAGATAAATTTAATGATTTCGTCGTCGTATAAATAAATGAATAAACAAATAAATATTTCTTTAAGAAGCACAAGAATTATTCTCATAATGTCCATTTGTTTGTTTATTTTTATGTTTCAATGTGTTAAACTTACGCCTAAATTATGTTTAAGTAGCGATATGGTATAACATGAGTGTATTGCAAATGTATACGTATAATATATTCTTTGGACTGGACATTAGCGGCTGTTGCTGCACTGCAATAACATATCAAGTCTATAATGTTTGACTAAACACACACAGGTTTTAAAACTTCAAATTTTGGGGCCATACATCATCTCTGTAATATTTGACCAAATACAAGTTTTAAAATTATTTTAAAAAATGTGCCAAATATAATGTCCGTAATATTTGACGAACACACGTTTTAAATTTTAAAAATGTACTCATATAATGTCTATAATATTTGACAAAACACAAGTTTTAAATTATAAAAATGTACTCATATAATGTCTATAATATTTGACCAAACACAAGTTTTAAATTATAAAAATGTACTCATATAATGTCTATAATTTTTTACCATTACTTGTACCGTTGATGTGAGAGTCGTGTGTCAAAAATAAATTAGAATTTTTTTTAAAAATATTTAGAATCTGATCATGTGTGAATTGTCACTGTATAATCATAAGAAGGATAAGAACAATCTAACATTTTATCAAAATTTCGGCACGATTTTGTGTTACTGTTTGATCGTGATTTTATACAAAAATGTTTGTTATAAACAAAATTGATAAAAAAAGAAGTTGTGCAACATACTCTTGCATTTATTGTGTAAATCTTCAGTTAGTCCGGTTACGAAATCAAACAGCAGGCTACAGTCCTTCATTCAGACATTTAAAAAATGTGACAATCCAATAAACCTTCCTTTTTGAGAGTATTAGCTGCAGCCCTTTACTTATGATTTGATTCAAAGTAAGTCATGTCTATATATGTCCATTCGTGCATTTGTCGCATTAGGGCAAGAGTCCATTCGGGTAAATATCGCATTCGGAAAAGTGTCTATTTCGGAAAACGGGCCTTTGGGCAAACAGCATTTGGGCAAGTGTCTTTTGGAAATTTGTCTTAGACAACAATAGTTCAGATTGTAAAACCGATAGCGACGAGGTAATAGCTATCCAGTTTTTACCATGCGCATCAATTTAGGTGCGAAAGTGTTGTTTTTTTTAAACAACATAGATTTATGACACTGAATCAAGGTGCGTATACAACATGGCTGTCATTGACAGTAGTCAACTTGGTTTATTAACTTAAGTAAACACACTGTTTACCAATGGGCTCTTGAAATGGAGGTAGATCTATGTATTGGTGCTTATTGTATTATTAATATTAATTATTGTCTTATTAAGTTTGACGTTACAAGACAGTTTTAAAATTATGTACTCCCTTTTTAACTTTTATGTCTGTATAAATCTAAAGGTAACACACAGCGATCTAATTCATTGTATAATATATTATATCGATATCAAGATTCTAGAGTTTATGTAGACTTATATAGACCTAGTCTAGTTATCGATATAAAAAAAAATAAAATAACATGGAACTTGTGTGCTAATTTGTGTATGATACCAAATGTTATGTACCTAACTTTATTAAAAAATTGGAACATTTAAAGAAAATAAAAATAAAAACAATTATTTCAACATTTCCAAACCAAACAACTACTCGTAGTTTCCGCTAAAACGCTTGACCATAAGGAGAACTAATAATAAAATAGAATAAATCTATGTGTTGCAATGTTAGCATTTGGGACTCCGACTTGTGTAGTGTGTGCCGATTTCACTTGATGAGCTACAATTCAATACTTTGTTTTGTATTTATGCAAGTTGGTTAGAAATATCTAGAATATCTGGATCATTTAACACAATATTTTGTTTTCTAATACGGTACATGTGCTTTAGAGCAATCTTTAAGCATTGTCATAGTTTCAGTTACTCCCCCTCGTCATTTCAAAACATTAAAAAATCGACTGCACATGTCTGCTATTCCGGAAGTTAATATCGGATCCGGGGTTCGAGTCCAGAGGGCGCCCCAGAGTCAATCCAGCTCTGATGGGTATCTGACTTACGATAGAGAAATTAGTCGATTGATTAGAGAGATAATGCCAATTTTTTTTTCGAACACCGTGATTATGTAGCCTTGCGTTCTTTAATTAGGGTACCCTATGCAGTCCAGTTCATGTAATAAAACTTAGGTGAAATTTTTTCTAAAGTGCCAATATGTTTATATTTACTTACAGATCCTTTATCAGTTTGTATTTATTTTGACAACTTTAACGCAACAATTGGTAATTGTACATGGAGGTATTATTCTTTTAATTACATCTTTATAGTGTGATGTAAAATTTGTGAAATAAAGTATAATTTCAATATAGAAAAATCACTAATCAAATATATCATATATAAAGATTATTATTATACTAGAGTAGAAAAAGGCCAGATGTAGAGAAGAAATGTCAAACGATATTTTACATAATTTAAGAAGTCACCAATATATCGAAATTTAGTCACACAGAAAATAATCTACCATTGAAAATATATTGTATTAAAATATATAATTAATTTGCTGCATTAATTGTATTAGTTTGTGTATTATGTTGCCCTTTTAATTCACCAGCAGGTACATATGGTAGTTATTTTATTCTGGGGGTACCGAGATACAGCTCAGCTACAGCGGAATTTCATCTGGTAACGATGTCCCACGAGACATTTCACGTCTCCTGTGTGATAAAGAAAGTAGAACCACCTCTTTATGAAGACAAGGTCTACCCAACTGATTTGTATTTAACAAGAAACAGAGTGGTTGTAAAATCTCTAGACCTTTCATTAAGGTAAAAATTTTAATTGAAAAATAATTAAAAAGAAAATCTGTATGCATAAGCGTCGTGAAGGGGGAGGGTGGGTATGAACCGCACCGCGTGACACCATACAGGGGGGTGACACCAAGGATAAAAATAGCAAAATATATACAGAACAATGATAATTTCACTTAATTAAATTATTAATTAGAGTGAATCAAATAGTCGTTTAAGAGCAAAGTGGACGAATCCCGACACGGGTAGAGGGGGGAATGTGACGCCATGAATAAACCTGCTAATGATAGAGAAAACAGGCAAAATCCAGCTGTATTTACAACCGAATATAGATACAAATCGTTAGTATTATCTGAGCACAGTTTAAAGCAATCACCGTGGGGTTGACTGGGGATAGGGGAGGAAGTTACATCAACTCAACGTTGCAATATATATGCCTGAAGAAAACATTTTGGTTGGGAATTGTGATAATCTATATGTTAACCCATGTAGGGGTGGGGGTGGGGGGGGGGGTAAAAATTAAATACATCCAGAAGAAGAAAATATTTAAATACATGTACACATGCGTATTCACATACTTACCAGTGAATATTATATATATATATATATATATATATATATATATATATATATATATATATATATAT